TACTGAAATAGATGAGAAATTAGAGAAAGACAAAATAATGCACGTGAAAATTAAAAAAGAGAAAGAAGAAAATGTGTGAAAAAAAAATAATAAATTGAAAGTTAAAGATTAAAATTAAAAATTTTAAAAATAAAAAATTATAGATATTTTAGGATTTAAAAAAAAAAATAAAAGAGATGTACTTATAAAAAAAAATGAGGTGTATATATCATTATCCTTCCTATTTTATATTTTGGCTCATGATATATGCACCTCCTTTTTTTTATAATTACACCTCCTTCTTTTAAAAAATATTATAAAATATTATAATTTTTTTTTAAAAAAATAATTTTACACTTTCAACTTTCAATTTACTACTTTCTTCTTCTTATTCACACACTTTTTTTTTCTCTTTTAATTTTCAAATGCTACCAAAATAGGTGGGGTGAAGGAAAAATAAGGGGTGCATGTAAAAATTGAAAAAAAGAAGAAAGATATGTGAAAAAAAAGTACTAAATTAAATGTTGTGGATGTAAAATTAAAAAATTTAAAACAAAAAATTAAAAAAAAATTAAAATTTTAATTATTTTTTTTTAAAGGAGGTGTACTTATAGAAAAAAGGATGTGTATATATCATGAACCTTATATTTTTTGGGTTTGGTTCAGCCTTTAGTTAGGCCCAAAATATGATCCTGCACCTTCACTCAATGGAGGCCGAGCCCACTTGTGCCTGGTTCTTCTTATCCAGAAATCAGTCTTTAGATGCTCATTGAAACTAGATTTAGGAAAAATAAAATAACCGTAAAATAAAAAAGAAGACAGTAATAAAATTGTGAGGCATAACTTAGAACTATTTAATTGTGATAATAATATAAAATGATAAATTATATAAAAGAAGTTAATTTTTATATTCAATGAAAAAAATATATAACTTTAGAAATAACTAATTTTTGGGTGTCTTTTTGGTTTAAACATTTGCAAAATTTATAAAATGTTAATGATAATCTTGGATGTACTTCCAATCTTATTAAACTTTTAAAAAATTAAAAAAAAAATTGGTATACTTCTAGGATAGACATCGCAGTGTTAAAACTTTTCTTATACGTAATTGTGTTTAGAATCCAAAATTTGCTTTTGAATACTAAAAATTTTGCAGTCATCTTGTATCTAATTTAATAGTCTTTCTTCTGATTTAATAGTAAAAGTCTATCCAAATTTATAATTTTTAATTAATAATAAAGAGTATTAACAAAATAGTGTCAATAGTATTTAACGATTCTCTCAAATTTTGGATAGTGTACAAATAATTTTCTCCCCGACACAAACATCTTCCAACTTCTTGCTATATGTCCTCATTTGATTGGTAGTTGCCAAGACTGTTGTGAATTGAAATAATCATGAATGGATTCAATCTTATTCAAATTCTCCTCTTAAGGTGCACCAGCTTATTCACTTTACCAGCTTCCATTGCCTTTATTGCATTTGACACTTTCTCAATTTCATCAACAAACAACATTGCATGAATCATGCTAAGAGCATACTGATCCATTTTATAATTCTTTTGCCAAACAATCATTTTTCATTCAAAGCTTTAGCATTTCCCAGTAATTCATATTCTTGCTCCACCATCTCCCACATGGTATAGCAGCTTCATACAAACACGTCAGTTGTCAAAGTTATATTTTGTGAGTTTAAGCATTAAACAACATAATTATATATCTTCTAAAAGACCATGCTCTAATACCACTTTGAAGAAAAATAGGGAGATAGAAAGGGAGGGAGAACACTCGCATACTCTAAGAAATTCACTTGATTTGGATTGCAAATACACTGATACATAAGTATTTATAACATACAAGACACAATTTCAAACATGAGATATGACCTTTTGAAAATATACATTAGTGTATGAATTTAATGATACATCTAAAAGAAAAAGAATACTATAAATATCAAAATACATTAAGTAAATGATTAACCGTGTATCTGTTTGCATCATTATAGGATAGTTTAGTTTCTATTGCATTTTCATAAATACATAAAGTTTCTTTCTCTATTCATATATATATATATACCAATTGAGTAAACACTCATTTTATTCCATAAATTTAGAGGGCTCTATTATATTAACTTCTGAAATTAAGATATTGTAAAATTAGTCTATAGAATGTTAAATAAATTCTTAAATTTAATTACTTCTTGTTATTTGTTTTCAAATATATATATCAACATTATTGTTTTAGTTACACCTTTTTTTTATAGATTTAGATCAATGTGATTATTAATTTTCATTTTCAAGGACTAATTTTGTAATTTCATGGTTTCCGAGAATAATATAACAATGTTTTTCAAATTCAGTAGTATTTACTTAATTTTCATTCATTAAATATGATAGATGTTGCTATAGAATTCTTCTTTTATTATTTTTATCCTCTCAAAATTATGATAAAATTTAGGCTTAAATATGTTTTAGCCTTTATAAAATGAGCAAATTTTAACCTTTGGTCCCTGTAAATTTTTTCTTGATTTCTCTCTTTCTAAAATATGTAAACATTATTTTTGGTCTTTGTAAAATAAGTAAATTTTGGTTTTGACCTCTGTAAAATATTTTTCTTTAATTCTTGATCATTCTAAAATTTAAAGTCACTACTTATGATTCTTAATGATCATTTAAATATTAGATTTTTTTATTTATCAAAATATAACACAAGGAGAAAAATACTTTTGAAGTTACAAATCTCAAAAAGGAATCATGGCCCCAAGATACATAGAAGACCATTATGAACTAGTAAATTCACTTAGAGCAACCAAATTGCAGCTCAAAGCAAATCAAGTCAGAAAGCAAGCCTTGAAGATGATCTCAACTCGCTTAAAATGGGCAAGTTACTCGCTCAGGACGAGTGGAATTTTCTCAGAATTACAATAAGAGAGTTGTGAGCAAGTGAAGTCAAAGAGCAACCTTGGAGGATTATACCAGCTTGCTTAGAATGAGTTACTTGGGTGTTTTGAACGAGAAAAATTTGCTTAAATCTACCACATAAATGTTTAAGCGAGCTAGAATAGAGAATATCATTGGAAGCATGCACAAGCTCACTCAGAACAAGCCACATGGACACTCCGAGTGAGCATATCTAACCTAAAGCCCATTAAAAATTGTTATAAAAATAGGATCTTTAGAATGTCTCTAAATCAGTCAATACTTTTCAAAGCATAATTTTAGAGGAGGTTCTTATGAGAGCTTTCTTGTAATCGTGGGTTAATAAAAAATTCCTCTTCTTTTGTGTAATCCTTAGTCATGAGTGAATAAATTCTCTACTGTTGGAGATTAAGATAGTTAATTGTTGTATATGTAATTTTTTCTATGTTTTTCATTTAATAAAGTCAATTTATTCAATTAATCATTTTATTCGTATGCTTGTAATGGTCTAATAAACTTCTGCATGATTTCATCACTTTTAATTGAGGTTGGAAAATCCTTTTAAAATTACAACTTAGATAAAATACTGATAACATTTATTACTAGAAATAAGATAAATCTTATTAGTCGACTTTTGGTTATCAACCTTAATGCAAATAATTTAACAAAAATTACCAAGGGATTGAGATTTTCCTTAAACAACTAAGAATTTCTCGCCTAAGAAATTAAGATTTAAATATAATTATGAGTTGTCGAATTATCTGTATAATTTTAACATTGAATGAAAAATTAAGCGCATTTATTTGGAAAAAGTTAGCGAATCAATCTTAGATTGTTTCCATTATAAATTTAAACTCATCAAAATTATAACTTTATTCTATGTTTACTTAATTTAATATTTCTTGTTGAGCAATTTTAAATTTCTTTAATCATCAATTTAGTACCGAAAATAATTAGTGTACTTGTCAAATGTGTATAAGTAAATAAATAATATTTATTTTAAGAATTTATATAATAAATAAATAAATTTCATACAACGACATAATATATATCACCAACAATTATTGATAATACTTAATATAGTCACTTAATATTTTAATTAAAAAACAAATAAATAATTAAAAATAATTATATGATGGTAAGGATTAAAAAACAATAATTCTAAATTCTAAAATGACGAAAAACAAATAAATTTTTCAAAGGAACCAAAATTAAAACCTTTTTTTCAGGGATAAAAATATATTTATTCTAAAAAAATTATTCTTCGGAACTAATTTAAGACATTTTATTTTTTAATGGAATCCCTTATATTTTTAATTCATGTACTATTTAATTTATAATAAAAACAAGTAGCATTTAATTTTTTTCATTCTCGAATAATCCATGTAAAATTCATAATAACTAATTGTATAATATATTTTTTATAACACTCATCAAATTTGACGTCTTAGTAGCTGTATTATATGACACTTTACGTGATAATACTTCACTTAATTTTTTATTGATCAAAATACTTTATCAGTCATAACTCTCTTCCTGCGACCCTTTTCAAAGATGCATATACTTATTTAAGGTCAATAACTATCCTCATAAACTAATATTATTACTTTTTAGCGTACTTTTATATTCTCACTTGAACACTTTCTTAGAAACATTCCAAAAGATTACTCATCAATCTCTAAATCACTTTAAGTTAAGTATATTTAATTATGAAATTCTTAATTAACGAATTGCTAAAAAAATATATGTATTTTATTGATATAAATAATATTAATTAATTTTTTAAAAATTATTTTCAATTATATAGTTTCACGCTCTAAAATATCTGGGTCTCTCTTAATATGATGTATTTAGAATGTTCCACTCCCCATTCCTAATTGATGAATTGTTACTTAAACAAGCATTAATTAATGAAGATAAAATACCTCTATTATCCTTCCGCGTGTCCAGACGTTATTTTTCATGCTACTTGGAAGTAATTAAGTATAATTCATCAGCTTGACCTTGACCTATGATTCTTTAAAGTGATAAAAGTAAGGTCATTATATTTAATTAAACTAGCCCACCAAAGGAGAAAAAAGTTGAATTAATACAAAAAATAATGTTAGGTAGATCTCTTCCGTAGATTAATTGGCAAAGTAGGATTAACCAAGGCGAGTATATGTGCAAAGCAACACATCAATCAACAAAAATAGGCACATGTTTAATTTTCAGGACATCTATGAAGTGCCCACCTATTTCTACGAGTTAAATCATTTGTACAAGTGTATGGATACATCTGATTCACTAGTCCTTAATTTGTCACCAACAAGAGATATATAGAGGAAGATAAGGAAGAAAAAAAATTCTATCTTAATTTCAATTATAAAACTTCAACAGCTGTGCAGTGCATATTGGGAAGCTTCTCTAGCAGATCCACTGTTAGCAGTGATGCCTTAGCCTTAGGTTTTGGCATCATGACCTCGGAATATCCAATTGAAAGAAAAGTTGTTGAGGTGTCCCTTTTACATGGTCCTAGCCACTTAGCTTCCATGTACTTGTGCTTCCTCCACGGTCCCAAGTGCATTTTGTTTTCCTTCATGCACCTTTTCGCTCCCATGCACAACACCTTTATGATGTTGCTTAATCTCTCTACTTTCCCCACGTACACCTCCGGTAGTTTCCTCACAAGCCCATTATACTCTTCGCTTGCCTTTGCCATCTCAAACTCTGCTCGAAAGTTTAGTTCTATGATCACCCTAACATCTTGCTTTTTGTTTGTTCTATCTATTACATCTAGAAAAGTATGTTCGCCTGCACAATTAAGCTCATAGTTAGCTTCTCATGTTAATTATTATTTTGAGTTCAACTTCTTTTCTTAATTGTGACTCTATGCACAAGTTGTTTTCTTGTACCTAACACCTTAAATTTTTAGTACGAGACCAAGTTGACACCTAACGTGTAATATACATACTATAATTGACAATAACATGTATATAGTATAATCCTAATTGTTTCTTATAATAATATAGAGCTACAGGGAAAGTGGCAATAGCCTTATGATTTGAAAGGGATTTATAGATTAAAAAATAAATGAGATAACGTTGTTAATGATAATAGTTTTTCTTTCTATATTTATCTTATTATTATATTGTACCTACGAAGAAGGGCTCCTTTTCAATTTTTAAAACATAATATGGGAAAAGTGATGGACTTAAATGTCAAAAAGGGGAAGATGCATTTGTCGGATTTGTCTTTGATCGTTGAATTGAAACAGTTTTTTGTTATTGTCATAGGTATTTTGTATTCACCTGAAGGAATAGTTGGTGAAGTTTTCCATTTAGTTTTGCAAATGGCACTGTTGTAACCGGCATTCTGAAGCCTCCTAGAGACTTGTAACAACAAGCAGTTTCGACAGGTGGATCTGACAGTAATCTGTGTACTGCAACTGCAAACCATTTTTGTGTTTTGTTGTATGTCACGAACCGCTTCCTTGGTAGCATTCCTTAGCCTTGACTCTAAAGAACCAGTTCTGTATAGGTTGGTCTGCAATGAAGAAAAACCAACTTGGTCATAACATAACCAATGAGTTTAAAAATTTCAAGAGCCAACTACGCTTTTGGACGAAACGAATATGATAAAACTAACCTTAATTATCATGCTAACCAAAGTTATCTAAACTAATCTCACCCTTTTCTTTCTATGTAAAAATGAAATTCAGTTTAATGTCGAGATGTAATTATAATTTGATAGTTTTAAAATCTAACAAGATATTTTAAATCGTAAACATGCGGTTCATGGTACTGAGAATATATATATAAAAAAAAAAAGTTATTTAATTATATATTGTCATATGTAATTAATTTATTGGCTTTTGATAACATCTAAAATCATATTTGATATGATTTTTATGAGTTGAAACTTAAAAAGTGTAAAAATCTTTGTTCCAGTAATTAATGGAAATTAATCTCAAACTTTAAAATAAAATACTGTTATCTATTAAACGATTCCGAAACACAAGTACAGGCATGCATCTTGTGTATTTTGATTTCCTTGGCATGGCATCTATATATCTATGAAGATCCCATTCAACAAAAACCAAAGAAAAAAATTAAGAATCAAGTAGCATGATCCATGTTGATTAATATAATTACCTGCAAAATCTGGTGTTGATTGTCCCAAAAGCTTTTATTCTCCACGACGCTGCCAACACTCTCATCATCATCTTCATCCAAATCCAATTCCATTTCATTCGATTGAAACTCATCGCTACTTGAACTTGTGGCAAACATCATGTCACCATCGTCGAGAAACTCAAACTCCACATCACCGAGACATGAGGTTTGAGGTACGAGGCTGTGGCACCCCGAATCCCTTGGGAAACCGGGTAGAAATCTGGTAACACCTCCTCGGACCATAGTGGTAGCACCCATGTTGTAACCAAGAACAATTAACAACGTGGTCCTTGTTCTTTGACTCACCCGGGTACAAGAGAATGTTGATAATTTTGGTATGATTATGAATGGTTTATATACCCAAAGTGAGTGGTGTAACAATATCTAATCGCCGCGCACATGTGAGGGTAGATTCTGGTAGCATGTACATTGTTTGTGGCGTGACACTATTGGTTGATTAAGATCGAAGCATTATTGTTTTATTTTTTGGTGAAACAGCATGGATCCACGTCAATGGTTTGCAATAATTTCTTCCAACTCACTACCCAAACCATCATCCTCATCTGTTTAGAATGTGATAGAGAAGCTCCAACTGTATTTTGGGCTTATCCTGTGGGACAGTGGTGGGGCTCACTTGTCGTTTTTTGTTCTTAATGGAAAACCAAACTAATGTGTATAAAACCACTTTCTAGTTTCTCCTCAACACCAATATTCATATATATATGTGGATTTCTTATAAATTTCGAAGATTAACTTTTTTGGGATTATTCCAATACTAGAAATGTTTGTATCATTATTATCAAATTGCGTGATTACAGCACATAACATTCTAGGTTTCTCGAGAACTCTCTTTTTTTATTTATGACAAAATCAAGAAAATGAAATATGTCTATTCACATGTAAGAAGTATCATTATATTAAGAGCATATTAAGTGAGAGAGAATTTATTATGAAAGATGAGAGGGTTAAAATATATTTCTTAAATTAATTTCTTCTCATTTGATTAAACTATAAATTTTCTTTCACTTGATTAATCTAGGAGTTATATTTTAACACTCTCATCTCACATAATAAATTTTCTCTCACTTGATATGCTCCCATATATATATATATATATAAAA